GGGGCTTGGGGGCGCTGACGGGACTCAGGGGTTCAGGGCGTCGCCGGCAGCCCCTGTAGGTGGCCGGGTGTGGAGGGGGCTGCTCAGAGCCTGGGGGTGCTGGCAGCTTGCAGGGGTGCCCGGGGTCTCGGGGTGCTGGCGTCAGGCGTGGGTGCTCAGGGGTGCAGGTGCTTGCTGGCAGCCCGCACGGGTGCTCAGGGGGGCTTTGGGGTGCTGGTAGCTCCTATATGTGGCCATGCGGTATGTGGGGATACTCAGAGCCTGAGGGGGTGCAGGGGGGTGCTGGCAGTTTGCAGGGGTGCCCGGGGGTCCCTGGGGGTGCTGGCAACCTGCAGCGGTGCCTCAGGGTGCCCGGAGCCCACATGAGTGCACGGGTCTGCCGAGACCCTGCAGGGGCACCCAGGGGTGCGTGCTGGTGGTGCCCTGCGGGGGTGCTGGCAGCCTGCGGGGTTCCCCTCGGAGTGTCTGGGGGTGCCGTGCAGTGGGACGGACGGACAGTCCCCCGCAGTGCACCAGGGTGTGAGGTGCTGGTAAGGGTGCAGGGTGCTGTGTGGCACGGTGGGGGGGGGGAGCTGGAAGGCCCAGGGCGCCCTGTGCTCTGCGGGGTGCAGCCGCGCTGTGTGGGGGAGCGGGGCAGCACAGCGCGGCTGGGGTGGGAGCTGTGGGGACTGGGGGGGGGTTGAGTCGAGCAGCCTCCCTGCGGGGAGAAGCCAGGCTGGGGGGGCCAGGCTGTGCTGCGAAGCGCTGGGGAGGCTGGGGGGGACGCTGGGGCCGCGGGAGCCCTGGGTCACGCAGGGGCAAGAAGGACCCACGCTGTGGGGACACCGCTGGCGCGGCTGTGGGGTCGGGAGGGGGTTGTACTGGTGTGGGCACGGTCGCCCGGGGAAGGGGCTTGGCTGCAGCCTGCCTGCAGGGAGGGGAGGGGGGCAAGGCAGGAGGGGATCTGGCAGCACCATCTCTCCCTCTTGTCATGCCGAGATGGGTTATAAGCAGCGCTTTGGAAAGAAAGGATTCAACACTCGTGATGGGAAGCAGCAGTGAGTTTTGCTGTGCAGCTCACTTTTCCGGAGGATTTCGTGTTGCCTGTTCTGCACGCAGCCCCTGCTCAGCTGGGGAGAGCTGTCAGGGTCAGCAGCAAGTTGCATCTTGCTTTTGACGTCTGGTGTGGGATTGTCACTTTAAGGGACAAATTGCTGTCACCCCCTGCCCCACCCAGCTTTCCTAGGCACTTCACTCACCACGATGAAATTGCTCATGTGCATAGGGGGGAAAAAAAAACAAAAACAACCCACATAAAAGTGGCCAAGGAGTTGGGTTTAAAATGGAAACCGAATGTGGCTGTTCCCGTCTTTGCCATTTGTAACGCTGAGGAAACGATGTAGTGGGATTTTGCTTCATTTTGAAATATTCATTGTGTGGATGAGACAAGTTTTGCAGCTGCTTCTTGTTGATTGCGGGGGAGCGGAGTGCTCGCTCCCTGCTGCTATGCAACCTTTAATCCAGACACAAAGAAGGCAAGTCACGATGAACGCGTTTCCCTGGCTCTTCAAAGCAAAAAGCAGCCTGGCCTGCTTGAGAGGGAAATCACAGGGAGCGATCAGGCAGACTGGCCTGCCCCCCCCCGGCCCCCCCCTCTGCCTGCTGTCCTTGCCCTCTACCAGCCCTTGGTGCCTGGCAAAGCCTCCCCAGCCTCTCCCCTGCCCCTCCGGCCCGTCACCCATGACAAATAGCTTCTAACGCTTTCCTTGTGTAAACTAACGCTGCCGCTCATCCCGGTCCCTGGCTGGCAGCATTGCCCTGCCTGTGGCGGAACCGGTTCAGGGCATGATTAGGTGGCCCGGCTGCGAGGGAGGAGGCTGGGCAGGAGCGATGCATGTCCTGGCTTCAGCTCTGGAGCCTGTCTGCATCCTGGCTTGCCTGGGCTGGGCTCACCGCTGCTCTGGAGGCTGGTATGTGCGGGACGGACCAGCCCTGCTTTCTGCTGCTGGTGTTGCTTGGTGCTGCAGGAAATAAAGCTGTGTTGTTGCAGCCTGGGTAACTGTTCCTGAGCCAGTGGGATCTGGAGCAAGCATCCAGAGCCGAGCGAAAGTCCCTTGCTCCCTGCTTCCCTTCTGGTTGCAAGGCTGGACCCTCCCAGCGATTGCAGCCCTTGGCTTATTTCTGCACATAGCAGCCAGTTTTGCAGAGACCAGTGCTGGGAGGGGAATGCCTGGGGGCTTTGGGGATGGAACAGGACCTGAGCAGCCTGGGCTGAGCTTTCCCTGCACAGCCAAATGTTTAGGTCCGTGCTGGCGCTGCATCCTGCGGGTGCTCGCGTGACCCAGTGGGTGCCCGAGGAGCCATCTGGCAGGAAACGAGCCCGTTTGCGGTAGCGATATTTCTCTGCTGCTTCTGTTTGGCCCTGGCCGGGCTCCCAGACAGGGCCCGGGGATGGGGAGGACTGGGACTGCTGGGGTGGGGGTGATCCCTGGGGCATGACACCCCAGAGGAGCCTTGGGCAGGGACTGAGTTGCCAGACTGTGTGGTGGGAGCCTGATAGATAATTTCCCTGCCTCTGGTGCTCCTTCCCGGCGGGCACTCGGGGTGCTGGGTGCGGCCAGGACTGGAGGAAGCAAAAGGCGTTTTTTGGGAGGGGAGCGGCAGGCTGTGCAGAGGCAGCAGGAGCTCTTCAGGGTACATGTGGGAATTAAAGCAGCTGACTGCTTTCCAGCTGAAGGCAGGAGGCTTCTGTCCTGTGTTATGGCTTAACTCAGCAGGCAGCTACACACCACGCAGCCGTTCCCTTGCTTCCCCCCCTGCCAGTGGGATGGGGGAGAGAATTGGGGGAGGGGAAAAAAAAGTTTGTGGGTTGAGATAAAGACAGTTTAATAGGACAGAAAATGAAGGGATGATAATAATAAAAATGATAAAAGAATATACAAAATAAGTGATGCACAGTGCAATTGCTCACCACCTGCTGACTGATGCCGAGCCAGTTCCTGAGCAGCGGTCACCGCCCCTGGCCAACTCCCCCCAGTTTCTATACTGAGCATGATGTCATATGGTCTGGAATATCCCTTGGGCCAGTTTGGGTCAGCTGTCCTGGCTGTGCCCCTGCCCAGCTCCTCCCTGGCAGGGCATGAGAAGCTGAGAAGTCCTTGACTGGTGTAAGCACTACTTAGCAACAACTAAAATGTCAACGTGTTATCAATGTTATTCTCATCCTAAATCCAAGCCACAGCACCATGCCAGCTCCTAGGAGGAAAATTAACTCTATCCCAGCTGAAACCAGGATGGTATCCACCCCTTATTCCATACCATCTACGTCATGCCCAGGTCCCACACTTTCCAATATGTTCCAGTTAATTGCTACCACTTTTTCTATCTTTTGATATATACACACAGATATCATTCCCTTAGTCTATGGGCCATCCCTCTAAAATGTTCCTTGAGTTCATGGCTTCATCACCCACCAAGTGCAGCCAGGTCCTTGAGCAAAAGCCAGAAGGGTCTTTTGAGAGGCTGGGCAGGGTAGATG